TATAATGAGTTGGAGTCAACTCAATAGCAACTGGGTACTGGAAATCAATTTCAAAATGTTTTTATTATGCAGTTAATAAATATTCTTCATATGTGGAATGAAAGTCCCTTCTGGATGTCCTTTTTAAGAAATATCTCTGCTGTTTTGTTTGTTTGTTTGTTTTAATCTTTACTCTTCTATTAAATTTTAGAAATTGTATAATTCCATGAAACACTCGTTCAAGGATTTTATATTGAAATTGAATTGAATTTGTAGGTTAATTTGAACACAATTCATATGATTTAGTTATTGAGTCTTATTAGACTTCACACAATCTCTCTCTCTCTCTCTCTTTATCTCTCTATCTCTATCTCTCTGTCTCTCTCATCCACACACACATATGAGTTTTATTTTATGGCTTTAAGTACTATATTGTTTTATTTTTCAACAATGATCTTGAATATTTGTGGTTAAGCTGTTCTAAGATACCTTACTGACATCTTTCTCTTTTAACCATTCTGATAGATACCTTTCATTCACATTTCTTTTTCTAAGTGGATATTGCTGGTGCAATAGAACGTGTCTCATATGATCAACATTTATGTTGATCTGTTATTTGCAGACCTACTGGACCATTTTATATGACCTAACAGCCTGAGTGTCCATTTCAGTCAATTGTAACATCTTCAAAATAGCAACAATTATGTTACCTCATTTAAATATTTAACTTTATTCATATTTTTCTTATATTTTGATGACTTGGACAGCTACTATAATGTTAAATATTAACATTGAAAGAAAGCATTGCAACTTATTTCTAACTTCAATAAAAGTTCTTTTTTTTAAGTGATGACTTTTTTTTTAATTTTAATACCAGTTTGCCAAGAGATTTTGTTTTTTTGAATATGTGCTGAATTTTATCAAACACTTCTTCAACATTTTTTGCAATAATGTATTTTTCCCTTTTAATATATTGTTGTTACTGTCTATTCTGACTTAAAATTACTCTATAGGACAGGATAGAACTGCCCCTGCCAGGGTTTCCAAAGTGGTAATCTTTAAGAAAGTGGATAGCGCATCTTTCTCTCACAGAACCACTGGTGAGTTGGAATGACTGAACTTTTAGTTATCACCTCAGTGCTTAAGGTTGGGCAATCCTACTTCCATAGTGATACTGCCTCGGAAACCCAAGGAGGGGTCGCTATGAGTTGGGGCCGACTCGACGGCACATAACAACAACAACAACAACATCAGTGCTTAACCACTGTAGTACAATAGTGCCTTCTTTAACATGTGACATTAAAATATTGTGTTATTAAACCATGTATTTATCCTATGATAATCTCCAGACAGGTTTATGAAGCTTTATTTATGCATAGCTGTAGTCTACTGTTTGTACTTATTTAGGAATTTTGTATCTATGCTTATGGGAGAGATTGAGCAATAATTTCTAGCCTTCAAATTGTGGCTAGATTCAATATTAAGGTATACCAATATCATAAAATGATTTGTGGAGCTTTACTGTTATTTATTTTTAATTTTACAAGATGGAAATTATCTGTTTCTTAAAAGTTTCATGAAACTAAACTATAAGCTTTACTGAAATGGTGTCAGATTTTGTTATAGAGATTGACAGGAGTGGGTTTATTACTATAATTTCAGATATTTAACTGATATTAGATTTTATGTTTTCTATTTTTCAAAAAAAAAGTTATACTATCTTCGATAACTGTCCAATTCAGGTAAGATTTTTATTAATCAATATAAGATACTCTATGCTGCAATAATAAACAAAACCCTGAAATGTCAGTGATTTCCAACAAAGATTTATCTTTCTCCCATGTAAAGTTTAGCGAAGCCAGACACTTATCATTGATGTCACTTCTCCAAAGATTGATATGGGCAGCTTCCCCATTATTCCACTTATGCTTCAGAATTTTTGGTTCCAGCAGATGAGCAAATGGAAGATCACAGAATACATACCTACCCCAAAGTACCAGTACCAAAGCAGTCAGCACTTCAACTCACATTTTCCCAGCCAGAACTCAGTCCCACAGTCTGAATGCCATGACAAATGGTGTTGAAGGAGGAAGTCTTCTTGTGTACTTGAGAAGAGGACATGGCAGCATGGATGCAGAGAACATCTCTGTCACAGCTGTCAAATCAATGATGTGAGATTGTTTATTCTGTTATGGTATGAATTTGAAAATCCATCCTATGTTTCTGGATGTGTCTCCTTTTTAATTTTAGATATTCAAAATTGTACCTCCTCTCTTTTTTAATTTCATCATCAGTCTTCCTACTGTCTGTCTATATTTATTATTTTTTTAACAAACTGTTGGTTTTATTGATCATCTACATATTTCTTTCAAAATCCATAATGCTATATACTTTTATTTATACTTGATCTGTTGTTTAAACTAAATTTGTTTTAACATTCTTGTGCTTACATCTATAACACAAGTAGTCTCAGGAAATATGATGTTATTTTTCGTAATGGCACAATGTTATTGATTGCATTTTCACATCTTTCTGTTTTTCCTACTAGTTTTTTACATTATAAACTGAATATGCTTTGGAGGAATTTATATGTGATGTTGGGTGGAGGATTCTACAGGATGCATTAAACTGTACATGTTAACTTCATTTTACAAATCTACTACATTTTTACTAATTTTAGCCTGTCTGATGTGAGTTACTGAGATGTGTATCAGAAGCTCAAGTAAGAATGTGGAATTGTCAGTTTTCCTTATGATAACTTAAATTATTCTTTTATGAACTTGTATACATTTACACCTTTATATTCAGGTTTCTAACTATTTCAGCTTCTTGATGGATTGTTTCTTTTATCATCATATAAGGTTCCTCTTTATCCTTGTGATGCTTTCAGTATTAAGTTGATCATGTATCACATTAATATTTCCATATGACCAAACGTGGCTAATGGCTCACATGAAAATATCATGAGCAACCAAAGCCTTATAGATATGAGATATTAATTGCAGTAGTAGAATGTAGAATTACTAACAGTAGAAAGGAAGGCTTATTCATTTTTGTCCTGTCCTGAGTGAGAGGATCTTTGGCCATCAATGCAGCTGTGGCTCAGAGAGGAAAATCAATCTGAGATAACCATCAAGAGAGTAGGAGCTCTGGTGGTGTAGTGACTAGCGCATCTGACTGCTAACCAAAAGGCTGATGGTTCAAACCCACCAGCCACTCCTCAGAAGGAAGACTGGGTGATCTACTTCCATAGAGCTACTGCCTTGGAAACCCAAGGAGGGGTCCCTATGAGTAGGAGTCAACTCGACTGCAGTGAATTTGTTTTTTTCTGATATCAGGAGAGTATATGACATTTGCTGTTAAATTAGGGACAAGGGGTCCCCATGGAGTGAGGAGAGAGCACAGAGGATGACCGTGGTAAGTAACATTGGACAAGGGGACAGAATTGCCTTTCTGCTCACTTGGTCTGTGGCCTGTGGCTGAAACAAGGGTCCTTTCACACCACTGCTACCTGAACCCCTACTCTGTAAGGCACTCTTGCTCCTGCTTTCTCTGTCTGTGGTCCCTTTCCTGGACTGACACTTGGGAACACTTTGATCATTACAAAGGTGAAAATAACTCCCAATTCTACACTTGGCTATCATTCTCTCTGGCAGTACTGAGTTCTGCCATAACTGAGAGTTGTGGCCTAAGTCCAGATATCTATAAAGAAGTTAGAAGGTTGCAACTTCCAAATTCACCCAAGCAGAAACAAGGGAAGTAGTTACAGAAAAATCCCAACCTAAGCTAGAACTTTCTAATTCACACAGCACTTCCACTCCAAGAGACTTTGGGCAGGCAGAGGTGATGCTAACCCCACTTGGGAAGTGACTGTGAGGCATGGAGCACTTAAGACATGGGAAGGCTGAGGACTAGCCCTTAGCTGACTGAACCAGCACTTGGATCCCAAAGGCCAGACCACAGCTCTACATGTTTTTCCAAAAGAACTCACATGGATTCCTCAGGGGGCCTGTATATGGACCCCAAGATCTCACTGCCTCCCTTTCATGAAGTGATGTTTCTCACTCATAGCACAAGGTGGAGAGGGTCAGGCTAGGCAGAAGGGGCCTGTGCTGTGGGAGCCTCTCAAAACTCACTCCTTACCTCACTCCAAAGGGTTCAGGATCCTTGGCTCTCTCCTTCAGTCCCCTTTCCTCACTCTTCAGAGGCTCAGGAAACCCTCCTGGCTCTCCCTTCTCTTCTGCAGCCTAGGAAAGAGGATGCACAGACACATGGGGGTTCATGATCTGGACAGGGCATCCCTCATGGCCATTCTCATGCTACCATCCCAAGCTCTATCCAGCTGCAATGACTCTCCAACTGGTGCCAGTACATAGCATATCTTTGCCTCTCCTGCTCTCTTTCTTCTTTACACTGACATGTTGCACCCTGTCGCCATTTTCAGCTTTGCTGAAAACTCTCCACATATCTGTATCTGTGACAGACACTGTGGGTACCCACATATGTCTCCAAGTTGTTGCCCCAACATCCAGCTTCTCAAGTCTTGTCTATGACATGAGGCAGCCCTACTGGTGAAAAGGACAAAGTGCCAAGGCATTAATGCCCACAGCCAGCCTGCACACTGCCTCTAGTGCCTTCCTGCTGGATCTCATAATCCAAAGGGAAGGTTGAGACCTTTCTCCAGAATCCTCTTGGTTCTATTCACCCAAACAAGTAGCTCTTGTTTTTGCTTTGTTCTTGCTTGTGGCATGGACTTGATGGTGCTCCAGGGGTCATCTCCACATACACCTCTCACATTTATTTCTTCCTCTTGGCATCCAATTCTGAGGCATCCAAATCAAAGACTTCCCCCTCAAACCACCAAGGTTGTGAAGGAGGGTTTGTGGCTGGCATGGATCCCAGGTGACCTCCCAAACTGGTCCTTGCCAGCCACACCACATAATGCTGCCCCTTCTTTGTGGACAGGAGATATCATCAGTTTGGGGTGGAGTCTGGGGATTGACAGGAAGGGGCAGGGTGTCATGGTTCAGAAGAAGCCAGGAGGGTGGAGGTGTCTTAGAGGAGATAGTGGGAACATTGGACCCATGCCCTTGCAGGCTGTGTGGGAGCCGGAGCTGCACAGGAAGAGGTGGTGGAAGCCAGTCAATACAACCATGCCCTGCTGGCCTCGGAGACAGGCTCAGACCTGGTGGGTGCTCCTGTTTCTCTTGGTCTTCCTGCTCCTGCTGACTCATGCATGGTGTACCAAAGAGGAAAATTACCTCAGTGACCAAAAAACCATAGAGGAGTACTTTCCAGCCACCATGGAGTATGCCTTGCATACATTCAACCTCCAAAGCAGGGACACTCACGCCTCCAGACTGCTGCGCATCCTGAGTGCCTGGAAGGAACAGGTAGGTGCACAGCTTCATTCCTTCCTTACCCTCCTACATTTGCTGTTAAATTAGGGACAAGGGAGAGTCTTATCACTGTTCTTTTGTTCTTCATTTGAAGTCCATGCTAAGTAATATACAACTTAATTCAGTTTCACTTTTTAGAAAAGACTTAACTTAGAAGATTTTTTTAAAATTCTGTCAATGATTTACTTGCATGCAAGATAGATTTCTCAATCTTCATCAATTTTCTAACATTGTTTATCTGAAGATGGCTTCAAAGCATGGACCAATAAGTGGATGAGGACACTGGGTAAGGGAACCAGCTAGACAGGTTGAGAAGATATTTCAAGGAAATAAAATGAAAAGAGATAATTAGGAAACACAAGAGTGAGCACAAGTGTTAGGACCAATTTAGGAATAATAAGGGCCCCTATCATCCTGAGGGAGCTCTGGTGGCATAGTGCCTAAGGCACTTGACTGCTAACCAGAAGGCTGGCAGTTCAAACCCACTAGCCACTCCTCAGAAGGAAGGATGGGCAATCTACTTCCATAGTGATACCACCTCAGAAACCCAAGGAGGGGTGGCTATGAGTTGGGTCCGACTCGAGGGCACATAACAACAACAACACCTCGAGGGAAATGGTGAGTCAGCTTCTTGTCCCCATCCACCTCTTGCTCAAGGTTCCTGGCCTGGTGTGGTCTCCACCTATGATGTTCCTATCAATGGATTGCATACTATTTTACTCTCATCTCCAAAGCACTGTACTTAAACCAAACATATTCTCCTTTTAGCAGAATCATACAGCACTCCCCCAGGAAGGCTCATTTCCTTTAGGGTTAAACAACAAAAAACAAACTCACTGCCATTGAGTCGATATGAAACATAGCAACCACTCCTTGGGTTTCCAAGGCAGCATTTTTATGGAAGTAGATTGTTTAATATTCTTTCCGAGGAGTAGCTGGTGGGTTTGAAACACCAGCCTTCTGGTTATCAGTCAAATGTCTTAGGCACTATGCCACAAAGCTCCCTGCAAAAGAGTCCTTTCCCAGGGAGGGAGTAGTTGAATCTGTGGGCTCGGGACCCTAGTTTCAGGAGACATCAAGCTCATTTGTCATAACACGCTACACAAAACATTGTTCCACCTCCTACTTTGGCGAGGTTTCTTGAAACCATTGTTGTGTGTGTGTGTGTGTGTGTATGTTCATGTGTGTACCTGGTAGCTATGTGGGAAGCATTCTGGCTGTTGGTCCAGGTGAAAGGTTTTGACAGCATGGCTGTAGACAAGGCTCCCTCTCTCAGCAAACTCCTGGACAACTGGGATCTTAAAAGCTTGCAAGCAACCATCTAGATGTAACAATGGGTCTCTCCTTGTCCTGAGCAAAGAAAAATGAAGAAAACCAAAGATTCATGGAAACAATTAGTCCCAGCAACTGGTACACCATGAGACGCTCAGCTTATAATGACTATGAGACCAGAAGAACTAGATGGTGCCCGGCAATCATTGTCAACCTCTCAGAGGGGGATCTATGTAGGAGATCCTGGAAAGAGTGGGAGAACAATGTGGAACAAAACTCAAAATCATTTGAAAAAAAAAAGAGGGACCAGGCTTGCTGGTCTGATAGAGCCTGATGGAACCACTGAGACTATGACTCCTAGCTGCCCTTCAGGTCTACAATTGAACCCACATCTGTGACTTCCAGCCAAACAAAAGACAGGCATATGAGGTGAACATTTACATTAGGTAGATACACTCCTTGGAGAGAACAATCATGGGAGAATAGAAGGATTGTGTATGCACTGGGAGATAGCTCTCAGGGCAAGAGTGCATGGAGGGAAGGACAGAGGGAAGAGGTAACTATGGGGAGAAAGTGGGAATTAAGAAAAAAAAAAAAAGAAAGAAAAAAGGGTCCTCTCCTAAAAAACACTGCTGGGTGTGTGGCAGATGGGTGCTACTTTCCTGGCTTCTGTGCCCAGCACCTGAAAAGAAGGTAGAGGAGGTCTCCCACCCTTTCCCTAATCCCTAACAGAGGGAGAAGGACAGGCCTCTCGAGAAACTGGTCCTCAGTATTCATGGTGGCTCTGTGGCCAGTGTTCCCTCAGAGACAGCCTGAATGGAATGTCCTCACTCTGGCTCATATTCCTTGTGCAGTTGCAAAATCAGTTCATTGAGCTGGGACTAAGGTATGGGAAGTCAGGGGATGTTAGGAAAGAGAATGAATAAGATGCAATGGAGACACAAATAAAGACAATTTCAGACTGCAATTTGGGGCAAATATTTCTTGAAACCGTTGTTGTTGTGTGTGTGTGTGTGTGTGTTCATGTGTGTACCAGGTAGCTATGTGGGAAACATTCTGGCTGTTGGTCCAGGTGAAAGGTTTTGACAACATGGCTGTAGACAAGGCTCCCTCTCTCAGCAAACTCCTGGACAACTGTCACCCTTTGCAGGCAGTAGAGCACTTGCAGTAGCTACCTATGCACTGAGTGTGTGTCTTACTTCAGATGCTCAGAACATTGAGGGAGAAAACTTCAAGAGGGAAGGGGCTGTGGGACATCCTGAGGTGGGACTCAGACTGCATCTTCCCTCCATGCCCTTCACACTTGCCTGCCTCTCTGTCCTTAATTCCTCAACTAGAGGAGGTCCCACCTGGCTTAACCTCCAGGGACAAAGCCCCAGTCCCTGGGTGATCCTCTAAGCAAGTGAGTGAGCTGGGCTTCCCCAACTAGCAGCTACCTGAAGGAGCTGGAGGTGAATCTTCTCTGTCACATCTGTCTGTTCATCCTTTGACCAACAGATAGATTACATGCTAGCTTTCTCCATGGAGCTGGAGCTGGGTCAGACTAGATGCAGGAAATTTGAAGAGGACATTGACAACTGCCCCTTCCAGGAAAGGCCAGAGGTAAGCAATGGTAGGCACAGAGTAACCTTCCATTGTTTTTTTGTAAAGCGTGGGCACTGCATGCTTGCTCGTGAGGTGCCTGGAGAATAGATGAAAAAGAGATTGAAAGACAGAAAAATTGGGCGACAGTGGTACAACCATGCCACCTGCTGGTGGCTGAGCTCAGTGCAGAGCCAGTATGTCCCACTCCAGTGGTCCCATTCACCCCTACCTAGATGTAAACTCAAACTGCACTTGCATTGCAGGTCCTGGGATCTGAAGCCAGCAAGTAGAGGGTGTCTCCTTGATGATACCCTCGTCTCTCTTTCCTTGCATCCACAGGGAAGGAGCCATGGAAGCTGCTTAGACCTGGCCTTTACCAATCTCAGGGTCTCCCTATTACTAATTTACATCTGAAGGGATGGAGTTGAGGAGGGCTCTTGGCCTCTTCCTATTGAGCTGAAGTTCCTCACCCATGTGAATAGAGTTGGGCAGCCACAGATGTAAGGACTAGGTAACCCTGTACGTGATTTGAGGCCCATCTATGAGGCTCTGCTCTGGGACCAAGGGTCCTGTGGCAGCTCTAGAAATCCCCCAGAGGCCATAAGCTTGTGGAGGTGATGAAAGGACACAGGCATCTCCCAGCCAGGAGAGGTTTCAGTCAGACTGAACTCAAGACATCCCAGTACTCCAGGGGTGTCATTTGAGAGGAGGGCTGCATTCCTTAGCTGCTGTTCCCTAGCATAGGCCATGCTGCATTTGGAAACAGGGACAGGCCATCTATTCAGAGCTCAGCTACAGCTCTCAAAGCAGCCTCCATTCTAGTCCCTTGCATAATGTCCCTGCAGACCTTTAGCTGCTTCTTCACCATCAGCACCCAGCCCTGGAGAACCAAGTTTGACCTCCTGAACAGCACCTGTGAGGAGTGCATCCCAGACTCCTGACCTCACTACAGTACCACAGCTGCTCCTCCTGGAATCCCAGTGACTCTCTTTGAACCAATCTTCACAGCTAAGGGTACATGCTCCTGGTTTTCTGGATCTCAGAGATCTGGGCCTCTTACCATGGGTTTGGATCCTGTAGAAGTATATACTCACTTCTGCAGTTTCCTTGTGTGGCAAAGACCATTAAATGTCAGCATTCAAAGCAGCCTTGTGTGTACTAGTTCCAGGGGGTGGGGCATGGAACTAGGACCAGAGCTGTTAACCTTGAAACTCAACATCCCTTGAGTGCCCTGTAGCTGGTGCACCCATGACCTGTAAGCTGACTGCCTCCCCTACCCTCTGCAAACATTTATGTTGCCCTCTTACTCAGCAGGGGTTTTCCCTGTGCCAACGGTATATCCCTCAGCAGAGCAGGTACAGGATACAGGTATGGGACAGGTGAAGTCCAGAAGATTGACTCCATCATGGGGGTGAATGTTTCTGTTTCCCATCTTGGTGCCTCATCACAGTCATGTCCTATATGGTTATCAGAGGCACCCAGCAAGATAAACCTATTTTCCCCTTCATAGTCTCATTTTGGTTTCATGTTGCCTCTGTACTTTCTCAGGTTGTCTCTCAAATAAAGCCCTGTACTCATTCCTTGTTTTGGGTCTGCTTCAGGGAACCAATTCATGACATGTGGTGTCTGAGGCCAGCTTCTTGGAACTTGTCCTTCCCAAGGACTGCTAAGGTGTGAGGGAATCTTCAAACATGAAGTCCAAATAGGGCCAAGGTCAGAGCCAGGCCCAGGCCTCCTCATGCCAGCCAGGAGCCAGGTCTTGGCTGGTGCTGCTGCTCCTCTTAGAATCTAGACCCTGTCCTGCTAGGTCCCAGCTTTGAAATTTTTTTTCTCTTCTAGAACCTTCACTGTCTTTCTTGTCTATTCTGGCCTCTGGCCTTGCCTAGACATAGCTAAACCAGTAGAAAACAGCTTAGAACAGGGCCACTTCACCCTGATTCCAACATGGGTTTTCCAAAAAAGTGTCCTGGTGAACAGCCAGCAGAGGGAGATGTGGCCCCAGACCCTCTGTGAGTAGATGTCTCTCTGTTAAGGGGCTAGGGAAAGGCCAAAAAAACATCAGCCAAGACTCTGAACCCTGGGTGTAGCACACTAATTCTAGCCACAGTGAGATTATGATGTGTGCCTCCTCAATGTCTGCACCCTCAGAGGGGCATTTTCATGTGGTCAGAGATGTGTGGTAATCACACTGGCTCCAGGGTCCTGAAGGGTGTGTGGCATGGGGTGAGTCTAGTGTTGGAGGATCTGTCTTAGGGAGAACCCTCTCCTCTCTGGCCTGCTTGCCTATGCCTAGAGGAGCCCAGTATATGATAAGGTTGTCCTGAAATATACATACAGACCTCTCTCAGCTGTTGAGGGTCTTTCCTCATGTGCTTTCCACATCTTCCTACACTCCAAATCTCCACTTACAGCATGAACTCAGAGTCCCCTCTCTCGCCTTGGAAGACCATGAGACTGGTGCCCTGGCTCCCCTACCAGTCTCAAGCCTGGCGAAGGAGCCTCTATTTAAGAAGTACATTTTAGACTCTGTCTTCTCCTTTTCCTCTTGCAAAATACTTTGT